GTCACTCTAGTATGGGATACACTTGGGGAATGACGGGGGAATGACGTCATCAAGGTGTGGCCAAAAAGGCGCCCTGGTATGGGATATACCTGGGGAAATGACGTCATCAAGATGTGCTCAAAAAAACACCTTGGTATGGGAGACACTTGGGGGATTGAAGGGGGAATGACGTCATCAAGGTGTGGCCAAAAAGGCGCCCTGGTATGGGACACACCTGGGGGATTTAAGGGGAGATGATGTCATCAAGGTGTGCGCAAAAAACCACCTTGGTATGGGAGACACTTGGGGGAATGAGGGGGGGATGACGTCATCAAGGTGTGTCCCAAAAGTGTCACTGAGGCCAGCCAGGTACGGGAAACACCTGGGGGATTTAAAGGGAAATGACGTCATCAAGGTGTGTGCCAAAAGTGTCACTCTAGTATGGGAGACACTTGGGGAAATGAGAGGGGAATGACGTCATCGAGGTGTGGCCAAAAGCATCATCGAGGCTGCTCTGCTATGGGACACACCTGGAGGAATGACGTCATCAAGGTGTGGCCAAAAAGGTGCCCTGGTATAGGACACACCTGGGGGATTAAAGGGGGAATGACGTCATCAAGGTGTGGCCAAAAAACCACCCTGGTATGGGAAACACCTGGGGGATTAAAGGGGAATGACGTCATCAAGGTGCGTCCCAAAAATGTCACCGAGGCCAGCCAGGTACGGGAAACACCTGGGGGAATGAGGGGGGAATGACGTCATCAAGGTGTGGCTAAAAATCCACCTTGGTATGGGAGACACTTGGGGAATGAAGGGGGAATGACGCCATCAAGGTGTGGCCAAAAAGGTGCCCTGGTATGGGATATACCTGGGGAAATGACGTCATGAAGGTGTGCTCAAAAAGGCGCCCTGGTATGGGACACACCTGGGGAATTAAAGGGGGAATGACGTCATCAAGGTGTGGCCAAAAAGCTGCCCTGGTATGGGACACACCTGGGGGAATGACGTCATCAAGGTGTGTCCCAAAAGTGTCACCGAGGCCAGCCAGGTATGGGACACACCTGGGGGAATGAGAGGGAAATGACGTCATCAAGGTGTGGCCAAAAAAACACCCTGGTATGGGAGACACTTGGGGGAATGGGGGGGGGGAAATGACGTCATCAAGGTGTGGCCAATAAAGTGCCTTGCTATGGGACACACCTGAGGGGATGAAAGGGGAATGACGTCATCAAGGTGTGCTCAAAAAGGAGCCCTGGTATGGGATACACGTGGGGGAAATGACGTCATCAAGGTGTGCTCAAAAAGGAGCCCTGGTATGGGATACACGTGGGGAATAAGGGGGAAATGACATCATCAAGGT